GCACGCATTTCTTATCAGCAAGTGCAAGTAATGTCCAGAGAGATAGCACCCAAATAGGAAACGTGACGCCTTGCGTTTCTGTCCAGAGCATTTGCTGCGAGGCAGCAGCTGGCCTGAAGCTGCAGCACAGAACTCGAATTTGTCAGCTCAGCTGAGGGCCGCTGCTGGCTGCAGGCGTTCTGTGAACAATGGCTTTTTGTGGGACAGGGGCAGCTGCCAGGGCTGCCCTGCAGCCCCCTTGGCCTCCTGGTCCAGCCTGGCTTTTGCCTCGAACATGGGAGTCAATTTTTGACTGAGACAATGCCAAATGTTGGAGCCAAGCCCCCAGGAATCCCCACCCTGGGCTCTACACTTCAAAAAAAAGAGAAAAAAAAGGAGAACAGCCAACTTTTCTTGTGATTCATCAGCACTGCTGGGTCCTTGGGCTGAGTGCTGCACAGACACACTTCTGAAGGACAGACCGTCTTCTTCAGCCCTGAGGAGGGTGGGCAGAGGAAAACTCTCCCCCTTTTCCAACGTGAAAACCTTATCCAGGCACACGCAGGAAATGGGTGAAGGGCCAGGAAGGCTGGGCTCAGGATCTGAGCCTGGCTGGGGCACACACAGCAAGGCTGGGCTGCCCTTCCTTCTTGCACCCACACAGCTCAGAGGAACCTTTGGTTCACACTGTGGTTTTAAAAGGCATCAAAATATTGACATTTCCCTTTTCCTGTGGAAACAGCACACTCAAGATGCTGCTAAACCTAATTTTATAACCAGAGACACAAACCTTTCCATCAGAGGGGTCCCTGCTCGAGGCACAGCACACATTCCTTGGGTTTGGCCAGTGAAGGTGTGCAAATATCCCAGGGCCAGCAGCCCCAGCCAGAGGCCAGCCTGAGGCAGAACCCAGTGGCTCAGATTTTGCATTTCTGGGGTGTATGGGCTCACATCTGTAATCAACACAAACCCAGAAACCTCTAGAACCATCCCAAATCAAGCCAAGCAGGAGATTAATTAATGGAGATCTGTTCATGGATCCTCTCCTATCCCACCTAGAGAGCTGGAAAGGAAAAATGAAGACTTTGACCAGAGAAGTGATGGAGACAAGCCCTAAACTCCAGCCTGTAGAACATGGCTGAACTGACAGACCTTGCACAAGCAGGGTCAGTGAAGCTCTTAAAAAGAAAATATTAAAAAGGAAAAAAGAAACAAAAAAACAACGACCAAAAAACCAAAAAAACAAACCCTAAAGGTTTTCCAGCTAAGGCAGGGCTTAATTAAATTCCAAGTTTCAGGACAAACCCTCAATACTGTGGAGTTGGAGAGCACATCTTTGGCATCCCCTGTCGGTATTTTGGTATTTATTTCAGCAAAGTGCCGAGTCTTTCAGCAAGGTTCAGAGTACTTGAGCACCACAGCAGAGGCTGCAGGAGGGGCGTGCTGGCTGCCCCTCTGCCTGCAGGGCCATGCACGGGGTAATCTGCAGGGCAGGCTGGGGCTGCCTGTGGCAGGCACATTCTTCTCTCTCTCAGGATTTTTTCATAGAGGAGCACAGAGAGAAGAAAGAGAAAACAATTTCTATTTCTGCTTGTTTTTCCCATGTGGAATGTGTCTGGAGAATTGTTTACCTGGGGTGAGTGCTGGGTTGGATTCTGGTGAGGATTGTTTGAGCTGGTGGCCAATCCAACCCACCTGGGGCTGGGCTGTCAGAGAGGGTCATGAGTTGGGAGTTAGAAAAAGTGGGTTTGTAGTTTTAGTATCTCCTCTAAATAGTATATTAATGAATTATAGCAAAGTTATAATAAAGAAACCATTCATCCTTCTGAAGTGCAGCCAGACACCAGCATTTCTTCACCTGCCTTTGCAATAGCTGCGTGCCAGAGCCCAGCCCTGCCTGCTCCCCCAGCTCCCCAGACGTGTGTGAGGCATCGCTGTGGCAGCGCCTTCCCCTCCTGGAGCAGCATCCCGGCCCTGCAGTGACCCTAAACGAGCTCTGCATCCCAGCACCCCGGGCCCTCAGGATGCTCTGCTGGGAGATGCTCGTCCCCTGCCTATCCTGTGTGCTCCCCAGCCACGGCTCTCTGGGGTTTTCTGTGTTGTGTTCTTAAATAACCAACGTGGAAGAAGCACTAAAGCATCACAGGGAGCCCAAGTGATTTTCCTTCTTTGCTTGCTGCCTCATCCCCATCAGCAGCCTTGTAAAACCTCTCCTGAGACAAAGAGCATCCTGAAAGCCCCACAAAAAGCACCTTGAGAGGCAGTGCTGGGGCTCTGCTCTCACCGAGTGGGTTTAAACAAGGGCACAGACCTGGAAAAGAGGAAAAAGGTGTTCCCTGCATCTCCTCCCGAGGCACTGGGACCCCCAGAGCCCACGGCCGAGGGCAAAGCAGGTGGGGCACACACTGGAGGGATTGGCAGTGCAGGTCTCTGGAACAGCTTCACCCCAACAGTTCTCATCTAGCTGGAAGTGCATCACCTTTATTGGAGCGTGGCTCAGATGTGGAGAGAGTAATTCCCCTCCCAAACTGGACCTCTCACATCTTTGTTGTTTGCAGATCCTAATCCAGCCTTGGTCCCTCTACAAAGCCTTGGCAGCCCTTGGGAGTCATAGGAATGAAAGCTGCTACCTCATGTTTATTAATGGAGTAATTGTAATTAGGGGCAGTAAAGCTGATCAATGCCCAGTTCTATAACGTAAAATTTTATACCCTCAGAGTGACATCTGTGCTCTCTGCACACAATAGATATTTATGCTAAGGAAGAAACATCCCACTGTTACTAAAAATCTCCTGATGCCTCTCCTGTCTCAAGTCTTATCTTCAGTATCTAGGATAATGCAACAGAAAAAAAAATATCATTATAAAATAGATACAAACATTGCTAGAAAAATCCAAGTGCACACAGTGGTGTACAGCTCGTGATAATTTGAGCATCTTGCCCACAAGCCTCACAAAATAATGTCCCTGCCCCACTCAGTTTGTATTTGAAAAATCTCAATTTGCTGCCCTGTATTATTTCATGAGCACTGCACTATTTCACAGCATTTCAGATAAAAAAGTAATTTTGCATTTATTATCTTCAATTTGCTTCTTAAAAACCCCTATTGAGATCATGTAAGTAAAGAGAGCATTTAATCCTGGAAGTTTTTGTGGATTGAGAGAAATAATTCTCACGTTGCACATCGATATATGAGTGAGCTCTTTTACTGCAGGAAAGTGGGACTTAAAATATTTGAGGGGGAAGAGATACAGGGTTGTGTTTGCTAAACATTTCTGCCCATACATCAGAGACACCTCTGACATGTTTACAGAGCAGCTCCCAGTTAATCTCCCAACAAAGCTGCAGAAATAAACATTCTCCATCATCCATTAGCTGGGAACAGGCTTCCCTGAGAATTCCCCTTTAAACCCCAGACCAGGCGAGTCACTTACATTTTGCTCAGCTAATTGTGGAGAGTTCACACCAACATCCACAGGAAAAGAGAATTTACCTTAAAAGCTCAGATCATTCTCCACCTGCGTGTGCAGCATTTCCTGTGACCTGCAGAAGGACCTTCTGCATTTTTTTTGTGCTGTTTGCCTATTTTGGAAAAGAAATGTTCAGCTCATACAGAAGTTTTGTGTGAGCTTCAAGGAGGAATGAACATCAGGACATGCTTTTATTGCTTTAATTGATTTTGTGGGGATGGAAGCAGGTGCTGATCAGCAGGTTTTGAATTCTAAATCTGAGGAAATACAGGGAAAAAATACACTTAAAAAAAAATCAGGCTTACAAATCCTGCAGCTTCACACCGGGCAGTGCTGCAGAGGTGGGAATTACAAACTGGAGTTCTGTTAATTTTCCCCAAACTCTCTTTTCTCCACAGATGAAGCCAGTCAAATCTTAGCTCTGTTAAAATCACCAGAAGGGGAAGTGCAGCCAGGATTTCACCCCACTCGGAGCATTTTTAGGGGAGTGCTCTCATGCCCAAGTTCAAGGGAAAATCAACTGCCACTTCCTGCTGCTCCCAACACTCCCTGTGGGAGCATTCCTGGGCTTTGGGTCCTCAAACCTTTCTTTTTCCCACATGCACCCAATCACTTTAGGGTTTTTTTTTTACTTTTTAAAAACTTTTTGTGGTTTAATTACACCTGACTACATTTATTTCTAAATGTGGCTTTACAGCTCGAGGAAGTCCTGGTGAGTACAAGCTGGGCACTCCTCAGAGCAGGATCCTCACCCTCTGTGAATGAGGGAAAACATCCCCAGGGAAGCTCTGGGGGAGCAAATGGCACATTTTTCATTGAAAAATGGAAATTTTCAGGAATTCCGTGGCAGCAGTGGCGAGGCTGAGGCCAGGCTGGGGGTTTCTGATCCACCAAGAATCAGCAGCAGCACGACTCCCCCAGCTGCAGCTTGCTGGGGCTCTGTGGCTGCCCTGCTCATCCCCCAAAACCTTGTCCTCACGCTGCCCTCCGCACAGGCGGTGCTTGGGAGCAAATGAACGAAACGCATTGAATAAACGAGGGATGGATGGTTTCTGAGTGAGCAGCACTGCAGTCGTGGTGTTTCTGTGGGTTTCCAGCTGGGCTCATCCCTGCTGCGAGTGCCCAGGCAGCAGCTGGGCTCTGCTCCGTGCCTGCCATCAGCCCAGGACACGCGGTGACAGCACAGCCCTGCCCTGATCTGTCCCTTGGCACAGCCCAAACCCTGCTCAGCACAAAGCCCAGCCCGGGGCTGGCGCAGAAACGGGGACAAACGGCTGCAAAATGGGTTTGATCCATCACTCAATCCCCCCCAATCCAGGAGAAAAGAGCGTTTCCTAAAAATGAGCACTGCTGTCCTCCTCTGAGCCCTTCTGATGCAGGCAGCTCTGCAGGATGTGGCCAGTCCGTGCCCTCCAGTGCAAAGGCTTTCCCAGGCTCAGACTGAAATCGCTCGGCATTTTCCTCACCCCACACTGACCTCACTTCTCCAGACATTTCCATGACCCATTTTCTAGGAATCAATGCAAAAGCATCATCTCTTTTGAGGTAATACACCGCTCAACTCTTAACCTCGTTTTTTTTTCCAAGAGAATGTGGAAGTGACCAGTCTGAGTCACTCATGATCATTTTTAATAAACTTGTTGTTACTCAATGCACACAGAACGAACCCTCACCCTCCTCAGCCACACTGCTGTTCTTGAGAAAGGGTTAATTTGGATTATATTTTTAAAATTAAGACCGCGTGCTCTCTTAGTGATGTGCAAATCAGCTGAACACACACACATTGCAAAGAGACCCTGCCAGATGCAGATTTTTTACCCTCTACCTACTACAAATGAAATCAGGAAAGTCATTAAATCAAAAAGAAAAGAACCCAGGACTTACACTGACCTTCATTTTGCTGTGTTTCCCTGTTAGTCCATCACCTGGGGAGGAGGAGGAGGAGGAGGATGTCCCCAGCCCTGTCAGTGGCTCAGGCAGCTCTGGAGGCTCTGGCTGGAAGCCTGCAGAGGGAAAGCTCAGCCCCTGCCACCTCCTGCTCGCTGGGAGCCCCAGGAAAGCAGCTCTGGGAACGGGGGGAGCTCATTACGTGGCAGAATTCTCTCCAGGGAGCCACGGGGCTGCAGCTGGTGATGTGCAGCACACACAGAGTCCCCTGCAGGGACTGCCTGCCCTGCTCTGAACAGAAAACCCAGGGCAGCAGGGCTGCACCATGAAAGGGATTGGATTTGGAAGCATTTTTGCAGCAGCATTTTTTACTCCTGGTTTGTTGTGTGTGAGGATTTCTGTGTTTGTTTGTTTTGGTTGTTGTTGTTTTTAAAAATTTCTTTTCAACTTCAAAGTGGTGTGAGGTTTGCTACACTTTTAATCTGTCTCTGGAAAACTGAACAGATCCCCTTTGTGGTTTTAAATCCCCTGCAAAACAACCTCACCCTGCAGAGGCAGAAAACGCAAGGAGGAAAGTTAAACGTGAACTGCAGCTGAAGGGTTTTGTTTCTTGGATTATTTAAAAAATCCTTGAATATTATTAAGGTATAATGTTATTTTAAGTTATTAACGGCTGTTATTTGCTTGGCAACAGCTGAGTCCAGGTCATGCTGATGCACAGGTTTTGCCACTTTGGACTCAGGATATCTTTTTGTTGGCAAATTTTTACTGGTTTTGCCTTTGTACACGCTGGTTTTTCTCTGGTAAAAGCCTCTTCCTTCCTCTTTCCACAGTAGCTTCAAGATTAAATTAGACTCTGGCTCCCAAAGCCACAATCCTGTAGCTAGAAAATACTTTAATCTCTTGAATAGAAAATGCTGAATTGAAAAGCTTCATCAACAAAATCTACACCTCTGGGCTGGGAGCAAACCAGCTGCTGTCCAGAGGAGAAAGAATTTCTGGCACAAAGCAGCCCATTTCAATGCCTTTGTGGTTTTTCTCTCCTTCCTTTTTTATTTTTTAAGTATCAGGAGCAGTAGTTTGACCCCTTCAGACACTTCATGCAGGTGATCAGGAGCCATTCATTTGCTACCCCGGAGTTTTTCAGGTGCTCCAGCATTTGGAGTAACCTCAGCTACAAACCCACAGCTTGTGGCCACAGAACTACTTTCAAATACAATTAAATGTTCCCATGAATGAGCCCCGAGGGAATCCCTGCCATGGCAGGGACACCTCCCACTGTCCCAGGGTGTTCCAGCCTGGCCCTGGGCACTGCCAGGGATCCAGAACAGCCCCAGCTGCTCTGGGCACCTGTGCCAGGGCTGCCCACCCTCACAAGGAAGGATTTTTTCCTAATATCAGCAAAATAAATATGCATTAACCTATTATGAAATTCTATGCATATAGAAATTAGTAAGGGTAATAAAAAAAGATCAAGAGTTCTCAGAGGTACCCATGTCCATTAAAGGGCAAAGAGCCCCGACATGCGTCCACAGCACTGTAAATAAACATACCCATTCCCTGCAAATCTTTAGAATTAGAATTGTGAGTTTAATTTTTCATCTGTGTTTCAGCTCAGCCGAAGCTGTCGTGGAGGGGTTTGAAATTGCAGCAAGGGCTGCAAGGCTTCCTGTGGCACCCCTGGATACGCAACAACAAACAAACATCAACCTGGCTGGGCTCAGCTTGAAATGGTTTTCAACAAACATCAACAAAAAACATCAACAAAAACATCAATAAACAAGCATCAACCTGGCTGAGCTCAGCCTGAAATGGTTTTCAACAAACAAACATCAACAAAAAACATCAACAAAAACATCAATAAACAAGCATCAACCTGGCTGAGCTCAGCCTGAGATGGTTTTCAGAGGGGTTTTCCCCGTGCAGGTGCAATAGTTGGGCACAGGGATAATTGCAGAGCATTTCCTGCCACAGCAATGCTGCTGAGGGTTGGTGCTTCGAGGAGTTCAGAGAGCAGAAAAAAAACCCCTTTGTATTTTTATATCATTCAAGTATCATCATAAACTGTACTGCCAAGGTGGTAGGGGACTTATGGACAATTCATAAGTGATGTTGCAGAAATAATTTTGGGTTTTATTACTCAGCTGAAGTGGATTGGGTGGGCTCTGACATGTCTAAAATGCTCACAGCAGAACAGGTAATCTGTTTGCTACCATTACATTGATTTATTGACAATCCACTCAAGAGAACTGGAAATATATGTAGAAATAGAAAATTCTTCAGTATAGAGATGACAAATGTCCTGCCTCAGTTACTATGACTCAATGTGAAAAGTAGCCCCCTAATCTTTACAAGCATTGATGGAAAATTTGGAGTGTAAAAAAATGACTCACTGAGCTTTTCCTTCCCACTACATTTTCTATGAAATTTCCAGGAGGCAGTTTATGTACAGTAAACACTGAGATCATAATCCACGATGAAAACCCTAATTCCAGTACACTTATTAGGCTTGCAGAGAGCAGGACAGCAAGGCATTGACTTTGAATCAAGATTTCAGCATTCTCCAACCCTCACAGCTGCAGCAGGGCCTCTAACCTATAGAAAATTAATCTCGATTGAATGTGGATACAGAAATAAATGTAACAAACCTTATACACTGGGTCCAGTCTTTCAAAATAGGAACACAGAGTGTTTCAAAATGTTTTCTGGTTTGCATGTAACATAAAGAAATCATGTCATGCAAGAGGGCACCAGGGCTGTCACTGAAAGTCTCTGGCAAAGAAAGGATCTGTGTCTCTAATGTCACTGCAGCACAGCAGTAAGGTGGAACCCTGAATTCTATATTTATAATTTCACAAACGGGCTTACTTCCAGGTATTTTTTGTTGTTGTTGTTTTCACTCTGCTTTATCCAGGATCCTTGCCATCCCCCCCAGTCACTGGTGTTGTCATCATGAGAAGCACAGGGGGACATCAGGCACAGGAGCCTTCTGTCCCCCCGAGGTGAGGAACCCAAACTTCCCAGAACCACAGGAGCACTGAGGTTGGCAGAGACCTCTGAGACCACCAAGTCCAAGCTGTGCCTGATGCCCACCTTGTCCCCAGCCCAGAGCTCTGAGTGGCACCTCCTTGGGCACCCCCAGGGATGGGGATCCAAACCTCCCTGGGCAGCTCCAATTCCTGACCCCCTTTCCATGGGGAAATTCCTGCTGGTCCCACCCTGAGCTCCCCTAGCCCAGCCTGAGCCATTCCCTCTGCTCCTGTCCCTGTTCCCTGGGATGATCCCAAATCCCCCCGGCTGTCCCCTCCTGGCAGGAGCTGTGCAGAGCCACAAGGTCCCCCTGAGCTCCTTTGCTCCAGGCTGAGCCCCCTCAGCTCCCTCAGGGATTCTCCATTCCCTTCCCAGCTCCCTCAGGAATTCTCCATTCCCTTCCCAGCTCCCTCAGGAATTCTCCATTCCCTTCCCAGCTCCCTCAGGGATTCTCCATTCCCTTCCCAGCTCCCTCAGGGATTCTCCATCCCCTTCCCAGCTCCATCCCCTGCCCTGGACACACTCCAGCCATGAAGGACAAGACCCGGATGGGTCTCATCACTGCTACTTCCAACATCACCAAGAATCCCACTGAATTCAACCACCGAACCCTTCCCTACCCCAAATTCAGCCCTACCTTTGCAGCTGTGTTGCTCCTTGGGCTTGCATCCATTGTTGTCATCCTGCACTTGGAGCAGCAGAGCCACGGTGGGACGGGGACGCTTCAGCCCTGCCCAGGCGCCGCGCGTGGGGAACTCCCCTCAGCCAAGTCCATCTGACAGCTCTGCCCCTAGCAGCCCTTGCAACCTGGAGACATCCTGGTGTAAGATACCATCTGAGACAACAGGACACAAAAGGAGGGCAGAATAAACCCCCCAAAAAAAGCCCTTTTGGCCACTCCAGTGAGAAAATGAAGCGTCAAGTGGGATTTTCCTTGGTCTTCCTGCACCAAGTTGTCGCAGTTGAGCAGTGGGAAGCGGAGCCCTCTGCCCGTGCTCCTGTTTCCTCTTTTGCAGCAGTGAGAGCAGGGCTGGGGCACAGCGAGGAGCTGCCGAGGCTCGATAAGAGAGCCCTGCCCCAGTGCCAGCACTGCAGGATGGCACTGCCAGCCTCTCCCGGCTCTCCAGGCGGTCCCGGCTCTCACAGCAGCAGCAGGAGCCAGGAATTCAAAGCACCTCCAGGGAAAAGTGTTTCCAGAGCCAGGGAATGGTTTGGCTTGGAAGGGGCTTAAGGAGCACCTCACTCCATGGGCAGGGACACCTTCCAGCAGAGCAGGTTGTTCCAAGCCCATCCAACCTGGCTTTGCACACTGTATTTTGCATTTTCTCCCTCACTAGGATGAGTTCAGTTTTTCTCAGCCCTTCTTTTTCCAACAGAAGTCCACCAACCTCGTGGCCTCAGGAGGATGTCCAGAACATGGAAAGGCAGCAGGGTGCCAATGGCAGGATGGTTTTGTGTTAAAAAAGGAACTTTTTGCTCTTGCACTCTGAGTTCAAGCCCCCAGAACTGCAGAAGCTTGAGGTGAGAGCTCCCACTGTTCACAACCACAGCGGTGCTTTAACACATCAACCACAAACAGAGGGTTTAAAAGCAGATTCCAAACACCAACGAGTGCATGAATTACAGACAGGTGCTTCAGCAGAATTAAAAAAAAAAAGGTGGCACTCCAAAAATAAAAAAGCCACGGCTGTCACCCATCGCACATCACGCCTCAGTGACTGTGTCAGGACTTCCCTTTTCCCTGCCCCCAGCTCTGCTCCTCCTGGTTTCTCCACCAAAAAGGCCACCAGCACCAGTATCCCTCAGCACCACTGCTTCTGAAGGGTCACAAACTCAGAGGCAGAGGAGGAGCAAAGAGGATTAAGCCTCAGAAATGTTTTGCATAAAGGGAGCTTTTCAAGAGAAAAATAAATTTAATTATTTAAATAAAAATCTCCCACATTCTACATTTTGAGTATGTAATTGTACCTGATTCAGGTGGAACACAACAACTGCATCAT